CATAGTTGTTGCCACTCCAGAATAAGGAGAGAGGAAGTTGCTACAATGCTTCAGTGCCCTGTGCTGATTAGGATGGGCTTGTTCCCAGAAAGGGCTTTAGAGTCCTCACTTTGCAGATAGGGAGGTGGATGACTAGCCTGAAACTCAGAGCTAACTTATTCTGCCATTTGCTCATTTGTTCTTTCTTTTAAATAGAAGTATGTTCTGTGAGCTGCTACTGTGTTATTCACTAGGAATACAGACATGTGGATGGCATCCCCACTGTAGCTTACAGTCTTGCAAGGGAGGCCACTTCATGGACTAGTCATTTAATGCAGATATTCATAAGCACCTGAAGAAGGTATCAGTTCAAAGGAGATAGAGAAAAATTATTCAGAAAAGCTTCATGGAGCTAGCCATACTTCTACTTTGAGAATATCTAGACTTTTAGAATATATAGAAGGAGTCTACCAAGCATGGGGACATTAAGGCATATTCTAAGCAGAGGGTGAAAAATTCAGATGTCTGTTGAAGAGTAGTGGGAGTTAGTGGGGAGGTGGGAGCTTGACCTGTGCTCTGAGCTGCAGTAATAGTGGCTTTCACTGAGGATCAGACTTATGTATGACAGATTGCCCTGATACTGACCTGGAAGGTTCATCTAGGACACCACTAGATGTGGCTCTAATTTTCAAAGTAGGAGATGATGTGAACAGTGGAGAGAGAGAGGAGAAATAGGTTTGAGAATGCTTTAAAGATAAAATCGACAGACGAGATATGGTGGCCAATTCTGGAGGTCTAGGGAGAGGGGAATTAAGGGTGTCTCCAAGGCTATGGCTGAAACCTCCAGGTGAAGTGGGAGCAGAAGATAGGCCAGATCCTGGCCTGTGGTTGCATAGTACAGCCAAGTGCATGGAACACAGAGCTGTTACTAGTAGCCTTTGGGCTATCAGAGAGTTAAGTTGGCCTGTGTAAATAACCCACTCTGGCCTGGTTAACTGTGTTGCTTCTCTCAGAAAAGAGCTGGAGAGTTTATCTCCTGAGAGTAGAAATGCTCTCTTTCTAATTAAGGAGGAGGAGAAGCTGGGCTGTGGTAACAGTTTTTCCCCCTCTACTTCTATTGACTCATGGGAGATAAGAAGCAAAGCTTTGGGAGTAGAGAACTTTAGAAGAGGGCAAGCTGGGCTCGGTGATGTATGCCTGTAATCCCAGTGGCTCAGTAGGCTGAGACAGGAGGATTGCAAGTTCAAAGCCAGCCTCAGCAACAATGAAATGCTAAGCAGCTCTGTGAGACCCTGTCTCTAAATAAAATACAAAATGGGGCTGGAGATATGGGTCAGTGGCCAATTACCCCTGAATTCAATCTCCTGTACCCCCCATCCTCCCAAAAAGGGCAATACCTTATTACTGTGGGAGTTTGAGTGAACTCCTGCTGTAGAACTCAGGACTGCTAGCTGCAGAGGGAGAGCCCACTATGGAGAGGGGATGCTTGCCTAGTGGTGGTGGTGGAGTCTTCCAAAAACCCAGGAAATATTGATCACTAGAGTAAGATTGAATGATTTATTTAAAAAGAGAGCCAAGCACAGTGGCGCACACCTGTAATCCCAGTGGCTTGGGAGGCTTAAGCAGGAGGATCATGAGTTCAAAGCCAGCGCTCAGCAATTTAGCAAAACACTAAGCAACTCGGTGAGACCCTGTCTCTAAATAAAATACAAAAAGTGGGGGAGGCTGGTGATGTGGCTCAGTGATCCAGTGCTCCTGAGTTCAAACCCTGGTATCCCCCTTCCCCCCAAAAAAAGAGAGACCAACATTTGCATTAGTCCATTTATAATCAACTTACACCAGGTTATTTGTGATCAAAGTCATGAAGCAGTGAGAAAAATACCAAATCAGACTGTACTGTTTAATTCTTTTTAGAAGGTAACTATGATGCTATCAGTACAACTCTGTTTTCCAAGCCTCACTTTTTTTTCTTCCAACTTTAAGAATTGTTTGTGTGCATGAAGAAGGAGCGGAGACCTCGATTTAAACAAGAATCAGGTACAGGTACAGACAAGATCAGCTATGTGAAACCCTAATAAAATGTGTGTGAGGCACATCTTATTGCTCTGGAGAGACTTTTATCTTTTATTCCATAATTGCTAGAACCTCAGTGGGCCCATGATAGAATTCAGAGTTTCAGTGAATGCAAATGGGTTAAAAAGTTATCTTTATTTTGACCAAGTTCTAGTAAATATAGGTTTCCTCTTATTATGAATGTGGAATGGAAAACACAATGGTATTAACAACATTTATCATCATTAGAAATTACAGCTCTTTTCATATTATACTTGTTGTAGAAATCTCAATGTAACACTTATGCTCTTTACTACTTTCAAGTTTAGAGTAGCCACTAAATCCAATACCGTCTGAGGAGACCCAGGTCCTACATCATGTATATACATTACTGTATCACAAATTTGTGTCATAAATTTTGGTAACTGTAAGTGTAATTGGTTTTTTTTTTAACCCTATGTATTATGTTTCCTGCATTTAAAAAACATTCTGAGCAAGTTTCATCTACTTCACAGTTGTCTAAAGAGGTCCATAGCACATAAAAGGTTAATGTCCCATGGCTAAGATCATGTAGTTGTGGCTTGTGACTTCCACCTGGTGGCAGCATACTCCTTAAAGGTTAAATCTGTCTGTAATCAATGGTTGAGGAGAAATTTTAACTGTGCACTTGAGTATGATTTTCAAACATTTTTGACTAAATTAAGAAATAGGCTTTCCATCATAACTCCATACACAAATACTTAGGTTTCACAAAATAATCCTCAACCTTACCATATGACAAATCGATATTTTTTATTGCATTCTAATATTCTATTCAGTTCTCTTTCGTTAAAATAAAACAGAGGTTGCAAGACACTAAACTGTGCAGTTCAGTGGGTCACAGTACAGTTCAGTATCTTAAGAGACCAAATACCCCATTTTCAGCAACACAATACCTATATTTTAAATAACTGCCAACAAATACAGATGCACTTTACACCATGATTAAAAATTTGTTAAAAATATAAATTACATACAGTGAAAGGAACTGATTTTAAGTGTACAGCTAAGATGGGCTATCAAGACAAAAAATATTCTCATCACCAAAGTTCCTTCGTGCCATTTCTAAGCCACTTCCTCTCTGAACAGTCACCGTTCCCATGGCTTTGATCTTACATTGGTTTTGCTGTGTAGGATTTTATATAAATGTAATCACACAATATGTATTCTTTTGCTTAATGCAGTATTTTAAAGATGAATCCATGTTGAAGGTGTCAATAGTTTGGTGAGCAGCATTCCATTGTGTCAATGACAAAGTGTTTATTTTGTTGATAGGCTTTTAGGCTGTCTTTAGTTCTAGTTATCATGTGTTAAAACCTCCATGACCATTTGCCTTTGTATCTTTGTATGCACATAAGCTTCTTGTCCCTTGGATAAATACCTGGGGTGGAATTGTTGATTTAGTCACTTAATAAATATAAGTTTAGCTACAGGAAACTGCAAACAATTTGCCAAACTGGCTGAACAATTTATGTTTCCACTAGCAATGTGTAAGAGTTTGGGTTGCTCTATGTCCTTCCCAACATTTGGTTTTGTGCCAGTATTTTTAACTTTAGTCATTCTGATGAGTGCTATAGGTGTCTCTCTTGGTGGTTTTAATTTGTCTTTGCTGGGTAATTAATGCTGTTCAAGTCTTTTTTCAGGTACTTATTACCATTCATTTATCTTATTTATGAAGTATCTTTTCAGGCTTGAGATACTCATTTTTTTAATATTAATGTGTAGGACTTCTTTACATGTTTTG